ACGGGTTCCACACGTGTTTTGTCAATGTTCCCCGACACACACACCCCCAACTGGAAATGGAGGGCAAACTGAGGAGGCCTTCGGGTTGGGCTGGGGTGCTCTGGCGGGTGGTGACTCTCGGGGATCCATGGGCGACTGGGGGTCGATGCGTCCCCCTCCCCGGAGATCCGATGTCGTGATTTTTTCGACCCACTCCCCAGGACTGCTTTTTCATCCCGAGCCGTTTCTTGACGGTCCCGAGGCCCGGCGAGGGCCCCTAAGGACGGAAATGTGCGAAAAACCTCCGTCTTGATTTTTGTCAATGCGTCGGATCTCCGGGTCTGAACAAATCGGGCGTTGGTAGAACTGGGTTCAGTGGAACCTGGTTTAGTGATCTGTACCGGGGGGGCGCCCCCCCGTCCCATTTCCACTGACCGGAACTGCCGTCACCCGAAAAAACACCAGCTATGGCAAACCTGGTTTAGTGATTCTGGCCAATTCGAAGCCTCCAGGGCCCTACCACTAAGCGGGTCCCCTCACCCGGGGCCCCGGCCATACCCGAGCCAATCCTCCCGCAGAGGCGCCGAGGGGCACGCCTGTCTCTGTCACTCGGCCGGCGCAGGCGAGCCGAGGCTGGTGCGGGCGGCGCTGGCCGGGCAACGGGCGGGACCCGCCGGAGACCAAGGGAGACATGGCGTCAGGTCGGGCATGTCCCCCATGCTGGAGGGAAAATGAAAAACATGCTTATGTCGGGCGTGTCCCCCTGCAGGGGGATCTCTCGACGGAAAATAAAGAATGCCCCAAAAATACCCCAGGAAGGTCAAGGAATCTACAAACAACAGTCCCCAGACTATTTTTGGACTATTTTTGGACTATTTGGGGGGTATTTGTTTTTTATGTTTCATCGAGAATCCCCCTGTAGGGGGACAGGCCCGACTGAAAAATATGCCACACATGCCCCCAAAATGGTCAAACATAGTCAATCAATCGTCCCCAGGCTATTTTCTTTCTCTGTTCTTGAATTCTGCTCCTGTAGAGGGACAGGCCCGACTTAAACATAGCGGAGGAAGAGGCGAAGAGGCGAAGAGGCGGGAAACGAGTCCGTCGTGGATGTGCTGGAGGACGCAGGGCGCTGAGGCGCGGCTGCGCCACAGGCAGCGGCGGCTGGAGCCGAGGACCCTGAAGCGGCTGGTGCATGGCGACCATGACGTGGTAAGCGCCCAGACGGCGGTACACTTGGACGGGTAGGTCGGCGATGGCCGGATGGACGAGAGCCCCAGAAGGGCAACCCAGGGAGACCAAACTTGACCAGGCGGAGCCTCCGCGCGTGGAGCCGAGGAACCAGGTAGTGACAGTCCAGGGCGGACGGCCGGAACACGACGTAGCCACCGACGACCGAGGGCGCACACCTTAGCAGGGCCGTTTTTTTTCACCGTTTCCGAAAAAGTGTCCCTTGAAAATGGAAACGGCAAAAAAACTGCGACCGGAAACGGCAGCAAAAGCGGCTCCAGGATTGGAGCTGGAGCAGGAACCCGTGAAAGAACGGCGACGGAGCCGGTAACAAAGACGGCGTCGGAACCGGCAAGAAAACGGCAGAACGGAAGCGGTCAAAAAACGGCCCTGTCGCTTCCAGGGCCCACTAAGGCACACACACACACACACTCGGAGGGAGGAGCCCCTCGGTGGGGCCGAAGATAGCTGAACGCAACAAATTTCGTAACCCCCCCTTTCCCAATCCCCCCCTTTCGTCCTGCCCGAGATTCAACCTCGACCGATTCTGGGTCGCCAGCGGCGCTGGGGTCGCCGCTGGCCTCCTCCTCCTCCTCCTCCTCCTCCTCCTCCATCTCCTCCTCCTCCTCCTCCCTCTCCTCCTCCTCCTCCTCCTCCTCCTCCCTCCTCCTCCTCCTCCTCCTCCTCATCCTCCTCCTCCTCCTCCACCCTCCTCCTCCTCCCCCCATGGGCTCCTCCCTCCGACGGAGGGAGGAGCCCAGGGGCGCCGCGGGGTCGCCGAGGCGCACGGCGGGGGGACGCGCGCCGAGCCGCCGGGCGCCCGCACCTCGCGCCTCCTCGCAGCCGCCCGCCCCCCGCGCCTCTCCTTGGGGGCGAGGCGGGGCCCAGGCTCGCCGAGCTGTGCAGGCGAGTGCTCGTCTCGGGGCGGAAGGGGAGGATAGCAAAGGGGAGGATAGCTGATTTTCCCGGCGCCTCCCGGCGCCGGAGGCGGCTGTGCATCGAGGGATGGGCCCCGTCGGTGAGGCCGAAACCAGCTGCAGGCAGCAAATGTCGTAACCCCCCCGTTCCCAATCCCCCCCCCTTCGCCCGGCCCGATTGTCTGAGGTCGGGCACGTCCCCCTCCAGGGTGGTGTCGGGCGACAAAGAAGACATGCACCGACACATGTGCAGACAGACCCCAAACAATACCAGGAAAAACAGCGTCCCCAGACACGACTTGCCCCCCTGCAGAAGGACATGCCCGACTCTGGGAGGAAGAAGGGGCGGCACACAAACATCACGTTCGGAGGTCCGCGCAGATCCCTTGGCTCGGCCCCAGCTGCAACACAAAGCGCGACTCACAACTCGTGACCCAAGCTGGCCCAGCAGCGGCGGCACCTGCGGCTGAACACGGACTTCGCCACAACGCAGGGGGCGGCAAGGAGGAGGACGAATCCAATGCTCCAGAACCCATCGCGCCGGCGCCGGAGGTTGAGACCAACACCAAAATCGGTGGTGTGCCTCCACCGAGGGGAGATGATCGCGACCTCGGTGGTGGTAATGTTCTTGCTTCCTAGGCGGACGAAATATTGCCACCAACACCGAAATCTATGATCATCCTCCCCCAGTGGGCGCATCCCCCTGTTTTGGTGTTGGTGCCCATCTCGAAGCATCCAACCAGCAGTCTGCGCTGCGCGGCGACGGCGACGGCGACGCAGCAGTCGGCGGCGGCCCCTTGCCTGACGAGCGGAGCGCGCCAGTGGTGGCGCCGGAGGCGCCGCCAGGGGGATCCCAGCGTCGATCCGAGAAGTCCGTGCGGAGCTCCGAAAGCTTATGTTTATGCCCTACTCCTCATTACTCCTCCCCCTCCTCCTCCTCCTCCTCCCCTCCCCTCCTCCCTCTCCTCCTCCTCCTCCTCCTCCCTCCTCCTCCTTACTGCTCCCACTCCTCCTCCTCCTCCTCCTCCTCCTCCTCCTCCTCCTCCTCCTCCACCCTCCTCCTCCTTACTGCTCCTCCTCCTCCTCCTCCTCCACCTCCATACTCCTCATCCTCCTCCTCCTCCTGTCCCGCCTCCTCCTCGAAGTCATCCTCCTCCTCCTCCTCATTCTTCTCCTTCCTCCTCCTCATCTCATCCTCATCACATCATCATCATCATCATCATCATCATCATCATCATCATCATCATCATCATCATCATCATCATCATCATCATCATCATCACATCATCATCATCATCATCATCATCATCATCATCATCATCATCATCATCATCATCATCATCATCATCATCGTCATCAGCATCAGCATCAGCATCAGCATCAGCATCAGCATCATCATCATCAGCATCAGCAGCATTAGCATCAGCAGCAGCATCATCATCATCAGCATCAGCATCAGCATTATCATCATCAGCATTATCATCAGCATCATCATCATCAGCATCATCATCATCACTATCATCATCATCATCATCATCATCATCATCATCATCACCACTATCATCATCATCATCATCATCCTCATCATCATCAGTATCAGCTTCCTCATCATCATCATCATCAGCAGCAGCATCATCATCAGCATCATCATCAGCATCATCAGCATCATCATCATGCTCCTCCTCCTCCTCATCATCATCATCATCAACATCATCATCGCCATCATAATCGTTCCCATCATCATCATCATCATCATCATCAGCTGTATCCTCATCCTCATCCTCGTCCTCGTCCTCATCCTCATCCTCATCATCATCCTTAGATTGATGATGATGATTATCATCCTCCTCATCATCAGCATCACCATCATCGGCCTCAGCATCATCAGCACCATCATGATCGTCAGCATAATCGTCTTTATCATCATCATCATCATCATCATCATCATCATCATCATCATCATCACCGTGAGCAGCATCCTCATCCTCATCCTCATCGTCGTCATCATCATCCTGATCACCATCCTCATCCTCATCCTCATCCTCCTCCTCATCATCATCATCATGATCATCATGATCACCATCATCATCACCACCATCATCATCATCACTATCATCAGCATCATCATCATCATCATCATCATCATCATCATCATTATCAGCTTCCTCATCATCATCATCATCAGCAGCAGCATCATCATCAGCATCATCATCAGCATCATCAGCATCATCATCATGCTCCTCCTCATCATCATCATCATCAACATCATCATCGTCATCATAATCGTTCCCATCATCATCATCATCATCATCATCATCATCAGCTTTATCCTCATCCTCATCCTCGTCCTCGTCCTCATCCTCATCCTCATCATCATCCTTAGATTGATGATGATGATGTTTATCATCCTCCTCATCATCAGCATCACCATCATCGGCCTCAGCATCATCAGCACCATCATGATCGTCAGCATAATCGTCTTTATCATCATCACCACCACCACCATCATCATCATCATCATCATCATCATCACCGTGAGCAGCATCCTCATCCTCATCCTCATCCTCATCATCATCATCATCATCATCCTGATCACCATCCTCATCCTCATCCTCCTCATCATCATCATGATCATCATGATCATCATCATCACCACCACCATCATCATCATCATCATCATCATCACCGTGAGCAGCATCCTCATCCTCATCCTCATCGTCGTCATCATCATCCTGATCACCATCCTCATCCTCATCCTCCTCCTCATCATCATCATGATCATCATGATCATCATCATCACCACCACCACCACCACCATCATCATCATCATCATCATCATCATCCAAATAATCCTGCTCCCACTCCCTGCCTCTGCTCAGACGCTGGCTCCCGCCGCCTGGCGGGCGGCCACGCGGCCGAGCGGGCAGCGCCCGCGCGTCCTCGCGCCTCCCGAGGGTTGAGGCCTCTGGGCGCCTCGGCTTCTCCTGCCCTTCTGCGGGGTCCTCCGGCGGGGGGCTGCCCGTCGCCATGGCTGGACCGCCCCGAAGCAGTGGCCAGAGCGCACCCAAGGGCAGGCCTACGAGACTCGTGGCCCCTCGACCCGTCCCCACATCGCGTCGTCGAAAAAGTCACGGCGGGAAGTGTTCGGCGTTTTTGGGCCCAACAGGCCCCGCTACCAGGCGCTGGGGTCGTCAAGGAAAGGCTCGAGATGATGGCAGTCTGGCCCTGAGAAATGGGTCCAGACCTCCTGGGAGCCACGTTGTAAAAAAAACGGCGTTGGATGTCTGGGTATGCGAACGCCGCAAAATAAACGCGCAGAAGACAGCAGAAAAGTTCAGGAGAGTCGGGTAACTAGACAGGCGCGTTCCACTACTCGCAAAGTAGCTACTCACACATGGCCTGGATCCGCCACAGGGGATTTACGATATATTACACAAAGGCAGACGTATGTTTTTCTGACGTTTGCGCGTATGCACTTTGCGAATAGTGGAACGCGCTCGGCGAGTAACGATTGGCACGTCTTCTGGAAATGTGTGCTCACTAGGGCATGCGCAGTTCTCACAGCGCAGGAGAAGCAGTGCAAATGGGGAATCATAATGAACAATCCAACACCGTGGGCCGCTACGCTCGGGCAAAACGACATCGAATCCACCGCGCACGCGATGCCGGGTGAACACCTTTTTCCAGGCGCGGGGTGACACTCGGGCGCCAGTTCAAGCCCAAACAGCCTCAGTCTACTGTGCACCTGGCAATCCCAACCCACCTCCACTCTCTCATTCGGGAGGGCATCCTCGGCCCAGAATCTTTTGAAGATAATCTTCCATCAGCTGATTCTCGGGAGTCTGCTCCGTGAGGAATTGCCTCCCTAGACTGGTAGCTCCTGCAGTCACACGTCCATTCATGGATGTAAGGTAGGGGTGCAAGGCAACTGGACGACCAAGGCTGCTTCAGGATCGGCCGAAGAGCGCAGGATGCAAGGATACGCGTCGAAAAGCTCAGGGACGAGAACGCTGCACATCCACCGATCCTGACCTGGCTCATCTTTAGCACAGGGCCGGAACATACTCCCTCCTGACCAGGCCAGGCAGACGCACACCAGGGCTGGACCAAAACGTTGCGTTTCGTTGTAATCTCGCTTTGTGCTTCGCTTTGCTCTGCCAGTTTTCCTGTATCTACCTGCCACAACGAAACACAGAGCACAGCCGAAGTCCAGCAGAGGGAAGGGGAGGGGGGGGGTCTGGCTCTGGACCTCTGCTTAGTGCGACTGTTTGCGACAGTGCGTCCTATGAGGGGGGACTCCACCTGCTCGAAGCAAGCGCCAAAAACAACCAAGATCTACTCCCAAGGGGGGCGTGGGGGAGAGGGGGGTGCGCGGGCCCGCGCCGATCGGCAAAACAATGAATACAAAAACGATCACTTTGCTTTACCTGTTTTCCTGCATCTCCCTGCCACAACGAAAAGCAGAACACAGCCGAAGTCCAGCGAAACGGCGTTTGGGTCCAGCCCTGACGCACACACTGACCCTGGGGCCAGGGCTGACCTGACCAGGCTGGGTGCGAGTGCACGGCCCTCGGCGCTCGAAAGCTCATAAACATTCTTGCCATCGCTCGGACGTCCACTCCCCCGTGCCCCTCTTCGGCATCGTGTGCTTGTTCTTCTGTGGTCCTCGCCGAGAGAACATGCACACGCCCGAGCGATGCCAAGTACCTCCGTGCGGGCTGAGCTGCCCAGCGGAGGGGGAGGAGGAGGAGGAGGAGGAGGAGGAGGAGGAGGAGGAGGAGGAGGAGGAGGAGGAGGAGGAGGAGGAGGAGGGGGAGGAGGAGGAGGAGAGGGAGGAGGAGGAGGAGGAGGAGGGGGAGGAGGAGGAGGGGGAGGAGGAGGAGGAGGAGGAGGAGGAGGAGGAGGAGGAGGAGGAGGAGGAGGAGGAGGAGGAGCAGGCAGACGAGGAACGCGCAGGCGGGAGGCCAGGGCTGGCGGGCCGGGAGGACGGGGAGGGAAGCAGGGACGAGAAGGAGGGGAAGGCAGCCGCAGGCGGACAGGCCGGGCCGGACCAAATGCCTCCGTAGATGTGCGGAGGTGGGCCGCTCTCCCCCGCTTCCCGCACTGCCGCTCCCCCGACCTCTCCCGAGGTGGTCCCCGACCAGGAGCTCCAGGCGACTCGGGCCGATGCAGGACGGAAGAGCGTCCAACACGAGGCCCTCCGCCGGCCAGACAGCAGAACATCCGAGGGCAACCCTCCCCCAGGATGCACGAAGAGCATCCAACAGCACACGAAGAACCCGATGGGTACCCTCCCCGAACCGACCTCGACCTTATACCTCGGTCCGACCGTATCGGTAAGGATCCAGCGGTCGGAAAGAGTGGGTAGAAACTGAAGGGGCCCTGGGACACACAAGTAAATCCACACAGATCAAAATATTCCCTATATTTTCACATATGTTTAGGGGTTTTCGCCTTCCCCCCCACTTCCCATATTTCCCATATTTTCTGTGAGTCGACGATTAATTGTGTCCTTGTGTTTCTTTCCCTCCTGAGAAACATGAAGCAGCAAGGCGTGGAGAGCAGACTGGAGCCCCGCCCGGCCCCCTGGAGACGAGGGACGAGGAGAAGCCGCTCGATCCCTGAAGCATCGAGTCGCCCAGAAACAAATCGAAGCATCGGGATCCGAAACCACCTGTTCGAAACGACACGACGGGTCTCCTCCTCCCCCTCTGCCCTCTGCCCGACCGCGAAGAGTGCCTCCACATGAAAAAATAAGACCAACTCCTCTGCCTGCTGCCTCCTTTGGAGGCTTGGATATGGGCACCCGCACCCAAACAGGGGAAACCTTGATGTCGGTGCTGGTGGTAATCCTTCCGCCAGCAAGAAAGCCCAGATATCAAACCATCGCCGAGATCGGGAGGATCTTCCCTCGGTGGAGGCACTGCGCCGATGTTGGTGTTGGTGCCAACCTCGAATCCTCCGACTTCAGCCCTGGAGAAACCACAAGGTACTCCAGAATTCGTAATAAAAGGGAAGGGGTCTGGACCCTCCAAGACAAGCCATTTCAGACCTCCCCCGTGGGAGAACCCTCCAAAACATCGTCCCCAGACCCCCCAGGCCCTCCAAGATAGCCTGGAAGAGACCCCCCCCGAAATGAGACCCCCCTCCCTTTATCACGAAATCTGGAGTACCGATACCGCTCCTCCCTGGACCTCTCCCAGGGTGCGTTCTGGTCAGAACTTCGAGGCGAATCCAGCGGTCGCGACGAGGGCCTCCCGGGAGGCCCAGAACGGGAAGACGAGATGAAGGTGAGCGCTTTTCAATTCGGCGTTTCGACACTGGGCGGCAAGGGGGGGGAGGGGGGGGGTCTGGCTCCGGAGCCCTGCTTACTGCGACTGTTGGCAGCAGTGCGTCCTGTGGGGGAGGAACGCCGCCTGCTCGAAAGAGGCGCCCAAAACAGCCAAGATCTACTCCAAAGGGGGGGAGGGGTGGGGTTGGGGGCCCGCGCCGATCGGCAAAACAATGAATACAAAGAACGATCACAAGTGCAGCGGTGTGGGCGGTGTGGGTGCCTCTCTCTCCTCTGACAGCCCTGCCCTGCCCTGCCCCCCCCCCGCTGCCCGCACGGCAGCCGTAGGAGATCTCGGGGGCGTCCAGGAGGGGGGCGTCCAAGAGTCGGGGGGAGCAGAGGTGGGGTTGGGTGGCACAGTGATGTTGGAAGCAAAATCGCTCCGAACGGCCCCTGGAAGAAGGAAACGCGTTAAACGGGAGCATGCAGCTGGGCCCGCTCCCCAGCCCCACCTTGGGGATAACCCTCCCTCTACGAGCCCCCGACATGAGGGGGAGGCGCAAATCATGGCCGGCGGCACGTGCGCGGCCCAGGGGGGGGCTGAGGACGCATGGGAATGAGAAGGGCCGCCATGAAATCTGGGGAGATATCATGGCCCCCGCCATGGTACTCCCCCCTGGTCACCCCCCCGTGGAGCTGCACGAAGAAGGCGTCGACCCGCGCCCCTGGGCGCCGTGGCGACGAGGGCCCCACGAGGCCCCCCCGAAGATGCCCAGAGCCACCGGCGACGACGGCGACGGCGACGACGGCTTCGGTTCTCCCCCGCTGCCCCCACAGCACGCACAGCAGCCGCAGCGAGGGGCAGCGATAGGAGGGGACTGGCATAAGGGGGGGATGCATCGACTTGGAATCGGCGATAGGACCCCGATGGTGAATCCGCACCCTCCTGTGCAGGTTGGGGCTATCGGGCCCCGCTCGGCGACCAGTGGGCGATTCGGGGTCGATGCATCCCCCCCCCCCGTGCCTATCCCCCCTATCGTTAGGTCGGGCAGGTCCCCCTACAGGCGGATCTTGGGCGAGAAAAAAAATACCCCAAAAATGCTTCCCAAAGACCATCAACAAATACTCCAAGCATTGTCAGTCTTGAACGGTTTCTGTCCCATGATGCCGTGCGTTTTCGGTTCCGATGTCTGAATGTCAGTCAACCGTACACGAGTGGGGTCGAGCAAGCGGCGTTATTCTCGACAGTCGGAAAGAGGAGCTTCCACATGTTATCCAGATTTGCTCCCGTCGGTGATACTTCCACTATCTTGGGGATGGTATTTGACCTGTGCTCGAACCTTCCTCCTCTGGAGGCACAGGCCCGACGCGACCCCATTTCACTATCTTGGGGATGGTACTTGATCTGTGCTCGAACCTTCCTCCTCTGGAGGGACGGGCCCGACTCGACCCAATCTCACTATCTTGGGGATGTTACTTGATCTGTGTTCGAACCTTCCTCCTTCGGGGATGGACAGACCTCCCTTTAGTAAAACGTGGTTTAGTGAAAACGACCTGAAGCCCAAACCTGGCGGGCGCAAGCCTGGAAAATAACGGCCACGGCGCCCTCTTGAATCGAAAACGGACAATTCACTAATCGACGTGTCACTGTCGGGGGTTCTGTCCACCCCCGACTCCTCTGGAGGGACAGGCCCGACCTCGAACCCTCTCGCTGCCCCCGACGCAGGAGATTCCCCCCTCGGCGGCCGAGCCCCGGTCTCCGGGGGCGGCCCGCGGAGGGGAGGCCCGCCGCTCAGTCGTTGAGCATCGTCAGGAGGGCGGCCCCCTGCGCGGCGCGCGCGCCGCGCGTCGGAGGCGCGCCGCCGCAGCGGCCCGGAGAGGGAGGGAGCGAGGGGGAGAGGGAGGGAGTGAGAGAGAGAGAGAGGAGGGAGAGAGAGAGAGTGGGAGGGAGGGAGAGGCAGGGACGAGGGAGGGACGAGGGAGAGATAGAAGGAGAGAGAGGGAGAGAGAGAGAGGGAGGGAGGGGGGGAGAGACGGAGGGAGACAGCCGGGGAGAGGGAGAGAGAGCGAAAAAGAGAGAGAGAGAGAGAAGGAGAACAAAAAAAAATGAGCGAGGGCGCCGAGCGCTTCGCCCCCCCCGACTCCGCCTCTTGTCCCTTCCCTCGGCGGAAACCATAGGGCGCAAATCGACCAAACAGCTAGGCAGGGGCAGCGTGGTGCGTGTTTGTCGTGAACCAGACACTCTCGCCCCCTGCTGCAGTCTGCTGGCCCGCATCTGTCCTCTCCTTCATGGGAAATAGAGAACGGGAAAAAGGTGGGATAGGGAGGGAGAGGGAGAGAGAGAGAGAGAGAGGCCAAACAAAGGAGAAAGAGAGAGAGAGAGAGAGAAAGAGAAAGAGAAAGAGAGCCCAACACGAACACACACACACACACACACAAGCACACACACACACACAAACACCGATAGCGGACGACAAGTGTGTCCAGCGCCGAAGCACGAGTACCAGCGTCGCGCGCGCCGAACCCATGTGGCCAAGGCGGGCGATTAGTGATGGTCTTGCAGAAGGCCCCGTCGGCGCGCGGCCACTACAGTAAGAGCGAGGGAAAGAAAGAGAGCGAAAGAAGGACATAAAGAAAAACGATGATGGAAAATATAGAACGTGACAGAACACAACAACGCTGCTCATCTGGAGTAAGAGAAAAAGAGACAAACCACATATTGCGTCGAAGTGATATCCAAGTACGTACATTAACATATAACGTATCAGGAAGGGCGAATGGGACACCGACGTGCAAATCTATGTTAACATATATACATGTAGATACATACATATGTATATATAAACAGAGCGCTATACACATATATCAACCTGCGCAGGTACAACTAATCATTTCATGTGCACGCGCAGGAGATGAGAGAGAGAAAGGGAGAGGGAGGGAGGGAGAGAGAGCCCTTAGAATGTGAAACGGACTCTTGCCCCGCCGCCGTAGGCCACCGTGGCAGGAAAGCGGGAAAACGCAACTACGAAAACATCACGAACAACCGTCACAAATGACATCCAAACATGCCTTCTCGGACCGTGGATCTGGGAGACGACCACCTTCTTGGCGTGCTTTCTGAACGCTCTCGGTGCAGCCGGGCGCGTCGAATGGAACTTCCCCCCCTTCTGGCGGCTTCGCATCTCCCGTTTTTCCGTCATCCTCGATGCGATCACATTTCCCCTGGGGTGCAATGTCAGTTATCCCTGGCTACCGCCGAAAGCGGAGTATCCGAAAAAGGGGGCGGCCACGGGCGCGGGGGGGTCATCAGTGTCTGACCCGCGCGCGCCCTCTCGCCCCTGTCCTGCCTCGCCAGCCAGAGGGCCACCATCAGTTGAACCGACAGCGCCCTCCTGCATGGTTCCAGGCACAGGTCCGCCCGCAAGTGGAAGACCCTCGGGCAAGCAACGCTATCCTCTTGCACGGCTACGCGATCAGTCCCCGGCTGCACGGGCCCGATGTCCGCAGCAGGCCCTGGACCTTCAGGATCAAGCTTTGGCTCGAGGCCCTCTCGGACGCAATGTCCTACGAGCTGTTACAGATCCAAATGCGACCTGGTTGCTTGACCGCGGCCGTTCGCCTAGGCCCCCCCTTCTCGACCCCGCAGTGGTACCGCCTGGCCAGTTCATTGACGGCATCGGCAAACATGGCGAGAAGGTCATCCAAATTGGTCGAATGCCTAATCCAAAGCGCCAGGCTCGGCATTACGAGTCCGCCCGCATCATGAGCACGCCGCGGATCTGGAACCTCCACGCACGGCGCAACGCTCATATCATGTCGATCTTTACCACGGAAAGTCCGATCACGGTGCCCCAGGTCTCCTCCGGCGGCGCCTCGAACGTCTCTATCTAGATCTCCACCTGAGCAGCCATCTGCTCGCTGGAGAGCTTCTCGCTCGCAGCGGCCTTTTTCTGCTTCCGTTCGTTGTCGTGCCATGATTTTGATACACTGGCAGCTATGCTCTCGCAGATCAGCTCAGCCCCTGCGCAACCAGCTAACATTACAGTGCTTGCACGTGGAAGGGCATGCTCCACGCGCCGGCCCGCGACGCGGACCTTCCTCTCCCCCCGCCTTGTCCGGGCACTGATTCTCCGCCGTCGTCGGGCGCCTTGGCCCCCGGGCCCAGCGAGACACTGAAATTGAACGCTCGCCAGAAGAAGAGGACTGTCCAAAGGACTCCCAGACACGCGACTGCGCCTTGATGTAGCGCGACCTGTCATAGGAGATCCGCGCTTGCCTCTTCTCGCGAGGGTTGGGGATCTCGGAGGAAGTAATACAAGATCCATGTCTGGTCCCCCCCATTTCCGCACTTCGAGTTGGCAGGGTGACCTAGCCAAATCGAACATTTCTTCATCAGCCCCTTCGACCTCGCGAGTGATAGGGTAGCGAGACACCGTTAAGCGGCCCATGTTTCGACCAAAAGTCTGCATGGGCGACTCATAGAACTCCATGCTATTGTCGGGCAGCCTTTTTTCGGCCTTCTTGGGAACGGCGCGTCCCCAATTAGGTCCCTCGGGGGATTCACCATATCTGGCTCCCGAGAACTCAATGCGTCAACTGGCAGTTGGGACATTCCTACAAGATCCGCTCTCCCGGATGACTGTGAAATGGGTGCCTGAAGAATGGTTGAACCTCCCCTGGGCATGCCAGAACGATCCCCCAACAGCACGCCACGAGCTTCAGCTAAGCCACTGGCTAAACCTGCAGCCTTGCACGCAGCGTGGCGTGACTTTGCTTTCAATGGTGACTTCAACGAACTGATCTCTGAATCGATGAATATGGATAGCTCTCGGTCATCATCCATCTGTGAAGTCAGATCTCCTTCTCGAACTATTGGGATCATAATTCGGCATGCGAACCAAAACATCGATAGGCAGCGTGGGTGTTTACATTGCGGCGCAGCTGATTACCCAAATCGTTGATATGAACAGATCAAGAGTTTTCGGCGGATAACAATATACTTACCGGAGGGTCATAATATTCTGACCTAATGATTGGCACATGGTTTTGTTAGATTATGGTTCCTGAACCTCCATTCTCAATGGGTGGACGGCTGATGGACAACATGGCACAATAGTGTTATCCGTTACGCGGGAACTACGCAAAGAATGTCTACGTGCGCCCGACCTCAGGGAACGGGAGGGCACACGCACCTCCGTCACCTCGCAGCCAAAAGAGCTGCGGTCCGCGCGGTGATGACCAGCGGCAGTGTACGGCAACGTCGGCGGCGGCGGCGGCGGGCGACGGCAGGGACGGAGCCAGATTAACTTCATAACTACCCACGACCCAGGAACGGTGGCGGGATGGGCCGAAGGCCATTCGATCTTCCTCTCTCTCTTTCTCTCGCTTGGTGTATAATTATGCCATCACATATTATATAAATATATATATATATATATATATACATATACATATACAAACAAATTCATGTTCAGGGGAATATAATCACATTACATGAAGGAGCACGGGGGGAAAACAAAAACGAAAAAAACGAGAGAGAGAGAGAGACAGAGAACCAGAGAGACAACATGATAACATAAAGGATGGCGAGAGAGGGAGAGAGAGAAATAACAAAAGAGCAAGGTGGAAAACGGAAGGAGGAGATGTGCATATAGATAGCCATGCAATTACACATATTCACATAGAGGAAGATAAAGGTCGAAACAGTCATGTACACAATGTAGCGAATCAGGAAACACTAAATATACACATGTATACACATCAAAATTATTGAAAATGGCAGCGCTAAAGAGAGAGAGGGAGAGAAAGAGAGAGAGAGAGAGTGAAAAATAACCGGACAAGCAGACAGAACAGCAGACGGAGAAAAAAAACAGGAAGAACATCAACATAAAGAGCAAGAGAGAGAGAAGAAAAAACAAAAGTGGCAGAGAGACAGAGACAGAGAGAAGCAGAGAGCATACATTGGCACTCAAAGCCACTGCAGCGCAGCGCAAGGCCCATGCGCAGGACTGGCACTGCCTTGCAACATCGTTGTGCGTCCATGGGGAGGCCAGAAGGTACCGATCCTGCTACTCTGGCCAAAATGTCGAGGCAAATCCAGCCGCAGCGACGAGGGATTCCCAGGAGGCCCGAAAATTTGAAAACGAAGCAAGAGGTACGTAGTGGTATGGGTACCTCTTACCCCTTCCTCCTCCGAGCATCCTGGGTATGTCTTCCCCCCGCGCCCCGCGCCACGCGCCTTGAGAATCCAGTACGAAGGGGCCTCGTTCGTGTCCACCTCGCCGCCCGCACCGGGCCGGCCGGACCGCAGGGCGCCACGCCCCTTGCCCCTGCCCATCGCCCCGGCATCCCGCCGTTTCGGCAGCGCTCTGGGTGGTCAGCGGTCCTCGCCCTGCTCACGCACGGGCGGACAGGAGGAACAGGGAGGCCTTTCGTTTGACGACGAATAGAAGCCTCCTAGATGGGGTCAGTAGATGGGATCGGAAGATCTCGCCGCATCGCCGATACATCGGCAATGCATCGACGATGCGTCGGCCATGCACTGGCGACGTCGGCGATACATCCGCGGCTTCGGCGTGGAGCAAATCGGGCCCCACATCGAGCCGCATCGCCAACGCATCGGCGATGCATCGGCCATGCGGCGAGATTTTTCGATCCCATCTGCTCCGACCCCATCGAGGAAGCCTAGAACGAAATAACAAAAACATCAACGTTCGGAGGTCCGCCCGGATTCCTCAGATCTGCGCTGAGCCCCCTCCCTGGCGCGAGGAGCGCGCGAGGGACGGCGCCGGAGGCTCAGGCAAGGGCCCCCCCAGCGCAAACAAACTGTTTCTGAACAGGCTGGTGGGGATATTTTTTTTGTTCGCGAGCGCGCAGGAATGCCAGGCGCCGTCAAGGAACGCGGCTAACGAGCAGCGGACTGAATTCCGCACAAGAGCGCACAGGAGCGAGCTACGCTGCGGCTCAAGCGGTGGACCTAGCGGAGTCACTGGTCGAGGTGCAGCACCAAAATGGCGAGGCTGGTGGGGATACGCGAAGCGTCAAGAATTGTGAGTCTTCAAGGGCCCGGACCAGTCGTTGCCCCAGCCTTTCTGGGCTCTTCTGGGCTGGCTCCTGTGAGTTCTAAGCTGCTTCACGCGTCTCCTGTGGATGCTGCGCCCCCCCCCCCCAAAGCGACCTCCCGAACCCTCCCATGAGTCCAAGAGGGCCCCGGGGAAAACGAGGGAAGGATAGCGGTACGCATCGGTCGGAAGAAGTGGGTAGAAACATGAAGTAGGAAAGTGTTGGAAGCAGATTGGGTTCCGTCCGCCCCCCAAGGAGGACGGAAAAGGTGAAGCCACTCGATCATTGAAGCAGGAAGGCGCCTGAGGTAGGTTGGAATCTGGGAATTCCAAAAATAACTGCTCTCAACGACCAATGGGTATCGCTACGGTGGGCGGACAAAAAGTGTCCACACTTGTCGCGCCAAGACAACTCGTCGTCAAATCACGTCGAGCGAATATGTGTACCCCCCTTTCCCACAATTCAGAGTTGGCGGGGTTAGGCGGCAGGCTGCGCGCCAGGGACAACATGTGGACACTTCAACTTTGGGTTTTGGGGGGGAGGGGTGCGAGGCAAGTGCATCATGCTGTTGCGGTTGTTATCAAGTCGCAGTGTCTTGCCGCCCAGGGTGTGGACACTTTCTGTGCGGGCACCGTATGGGTACCCTTTCCTCCTCGGACAGACATCAAGGAACACTGCCGTCCCGATCTGTGCAGATCGCCAGAGGACTGGGCAGCGCCCGCGCGGGTGCGTCTAACACAGCGGAGGCACGGGAGAAGCGAGGGAGGGAGGAGCGGAGGGGGGAGAGGAGAGGAGGGGGGGAGAGGAGAGGAGAGGGGGGAGGAGGGGAGGGAAGAGAGTGAGGAGGAGAGGCGAGGGAGGAGGGGGGAAAACGAGGAGGAGGGGGAAGTGGCGAGGATGCAGGAGGAGGAGGAAGAGGAGGAGGAGGAGCGGAACAGGGGTGGGAAGCAAGAGAAGCACCAGCCACGACCAGCAGCTGAAGCCTCAAGGGGCCCAGGGACACACAACCAAAGGGACAGCTGAATCCTCAGGATTCCCCAAATGTTCCATAATCTCTGGATGTTAGTCTGAACCTCCACGTCCCAGATTCCCCACGATTACCTGGGAATCGACGACTGTGTCTGTGTGTATGTGTGTGTCTTTGCTTGTTCCCTCCTAGAGGTCTCTCGCCCACCCCCCGTCCTCGATCGACAGCACGAAGTTGGTCGAGTGGCCCGTGGTGGACAGCGTCCCCGCGCGGACCGACGTCTGGGCGTTGGCAGGGGGGGTCCTCGTCCTGCTCCTCCTCCTGCTCCTCCTCCTCCTCCCCTTTCTCCTGCTCCTCCAGCTCCTCCTGCTCCTCCTCCTCCACCTCCTCCTCCTCCTCCTCCTCCTCCGCCTCCGCCTCCGCCTCCTCCTCCTCCTCCTCATCCTCCTCATCCTCCCCCTCCCCGTCCTCCTCCTCCCCCTCCTCCTCCTCCTCTTCCTCCTCCTCCTCCTGCTGCTCCTCCTCCGCCCATTCTGTCGCACCCCCAGACGTGCCGGTAGTGAGGGCCGGGCATGTCGCCTGAGACATCCTCGCCAATTATGATCCTGAAACCTGAAAACTGCAACAGCTTCGAGAATGGAGGGCGGGTGGTTTTCAAAATGTGGATATCGCCCCAACGCCGCGCGCCTTCGCCGCAAAGTTTGCAGCAGCTTCGAGGATGGATGGAGGGCGGGTGGTCTTCAAAATGTGGCTCTCGCATTGGCGCTGCGCGCACTCATCTTCCGAGTCTGCAGCAATGTTACTCGTGGAGGGCGGGCGGTGTTCAAGACGATGCTCTCGCCTTAGAGCCGCGCACAGTGGTCTTCAAAGGTTGCAGCGGTTTCATTGATGGAGGGTGGCTCCTTTTCAACATGTGGCTATCGTATGGGCGCAGCGAACATTCGTCTCAACAGTTTGCAGCAGTTCGAGGTTCGTATGGCTGAAGTCCCAGGAACGGTGTTCTGACACGGTTCAGGATTCAGGACACAACAGTCACGTTGATTCGCGGCGTCTCGATGTCGCATGTGTGGCGTTCTGGCACGACTAGAATTGGCCCGGGCGCAACAGTGACTTTGAATTGCGGCGCGGAAGTTCGAGAAATGTTACTTCGGCGCAGTTGGGAATTCTCAGACGGTTGTCTTATGGGGTACTTCCCGCAATGAAGATCGATTATTGCAGGGACCGATGAAGAGGGAATTTGGAGGGAGGGTGTATTGCAACATTGCTGATGCGTTTTATGTTGACACTGGCCCTCCTCCTCCACCTCCCTCCTCCCTCATTCCCTCCTCCTCCTCCTCCTCCCTTTCCTCCTTCTCCACTCCTCCTCCTCCTCCTCTTCCTCCTCCTCCTCCTCCTCCTCCTCCTCCTCCTCCTCCTCCTCCTCCTCCCCCTTCTCACCTCCTGTTCCTCCTCCTCCTCCTCCTCCTCCTCCTTCTCGCCCCCCCCCGCCCGCGTCCCCATCCCCCTCCTCATCCTCATCATCTTCCTCTTTCCGCTTCCCGCTGGATTGGCGAAGGCACCCTGAGGGATGCTTCACAATGCAGAAAACCTCCGCACTGACGCATTGGCCTCCCAGGGGCCCTACAACCACCGGGAGACCGAAATCCGCACAACAACAGAAAACTGGTACGCAAACCTAACCCCTCACAGCGAATGTCCGTCTCCTCCTCCCTTTGATCCTCTCCCTTCTGGGTGTTCGCGGGAGCGCCGAGGGCTAAATGCTCCCCTCCTCCTCCTCCTCCTCCTCCTCCTTCTCCTCCTTCTCCTCCTTCTCCTACTCCTCCTGCTCCTCCTCCTCTAACATCGCGTCTTCCTCGTCCTCCTCGCACTCCCCCTACTCCTCCTCCTCCTCCGCCTCCTCCTCGCCCTCACGTCCCTTCTCACATCCTCTTCCTCCTCCTCCTCCTCGCCCGCCTCGTCCAAATGATCATCGCCACCTTCATCAACGTCATACCCACCACCATGATCAGATTGCGTTGATACTCCGCAGCCCCTTTTCCAACTGAGTGAGGGGGCGGAAAGGGGAGAACGGAGAGCCGAAGGGAGACCAGTAGCCAGTAAGACAGGGGAGAAGGCAGGGCCGAGGGGAGGAAGCTGCGCCTCCCGGGCAGGCAGGGGCAACCGGTCCCCGACCGGCGAGGAAACGGCGACGGGGAATCGACGCCTCCTCCCCGCAGTCGGTCCCCCCCCCCGAAAGGCCTCACGGATGGGGTCGGAGCAGATGGGGTCGGAGGATCACGCTGCATCGTCGATACATCACCGATGCATCGGCGACGTCGGCGTGGAGAAAAGCGGGCTCCACATCGAGCCGCATCGCCGATGCATCGGCGATGCGGCGCGATCCTGCGACCCCATATACTCAGACCCCATCTAGGAGGCGTAGACAGTCGGTCCCCCATTCCCCGAGGGCGCCCTTTCCCCGCCGAACGGCCTTGTAGATCGGCATCAGGAACTTCTCGTCGTTCCGCTGCTTGTCCTTCGACGGCGGGACCACAGGGTCCGTCCCCGGCGCACGGGCCGCGGTGTCATTCGAGACGATGTGTGCAAACATGAATACATGAATACATACATACATACATACATACATACATACATACATACATACAGACAGACAGACAGACATACATACAAACAAACATACATACATACATACATACATACATACATACAAATACATGCATACATACATACATACATGCATGCATGCATGCATGCATACATACATGCATGCATGCAACCATAGATACATAGATACATACATGCGTGCATACATACATACATATACACATGCATACATGTAGACATACACACATACATGCACATAGGCACACATACATACATGTATACACACTACAATAACTCATGCATGCGTACAAACATGCATACATGCATGCATGAATACATACATACAGACATACATGCATGCATATATAAATAAATACATACGTAGATGCACGCATGCATACATACATACATGTGTCTATATGAGTGTTGCATACGTACACGCAAACTTATATATGTATACACGCAGTCACCACAATATGTATACATGCATACATGCACGTGCACATGCACGTATACATACATGCATACATGCATAAATGCATTAATGCATGCAAGCATGCAACGCACGCACATACGCATATTTATCTATGTATAAATACATACAGACCTGCAGACATTCACACGTACATGCATTCGTGTATACATACATACACACAACAAACCTGCAAGCATGTATGCAAACATGTCTACAGATATATATATATATATACACATACATATATATATATATATATACATATATATATATACTGATACAAACAAACAGACATACATGCATGCATACACGCATATATATCCGCCACCGTGCTCCCTGGCACGGCTAGGCGTGCTAGAATGCCAGGTGCTGCTGCCTGGTAGGGTTTATGTAATCTTCTTGAGGATACCCCTCCCCCTCTCCCCGCCGCACCTCGTCGCGTGCACCGGCCCTTCTTCCCGAGGCTCTGTCGGCGCCCAGACACGTCACTGGCGGTCTCCAAGGCGTCCAAAGTCCCCAAGATGGCTTCCAAGACGGACCTGGGAAGCCTCCAAGGCCATCAAGATGGCCCAAGATGCCTCCAAGACCGCTTAAGAGGCCCTAAAGAGGACCCCCCCGAGGGCCCGAAGAGGCACAAATCAATGATTTCTATTGTGGTTTCGATCTTTTTACGTTATCTCCTTTTCAAGCTTTCGACGCTCCAAGACGGCCCAAGCGAAGCGGCCCCAAAGAGGGCCCCCAGACGGCCCAAGAGAGCTCCAAAACGGCCCAAGAGGCACCCAAATCAGCCCAAGAGAGCCCCAAGACGGCCCCCAGAGGGGCCCAAGAGGGGGAACACGAACCGACAATTCCAGCCTTCCTCCCGAAGAGGTTCCCAGGAGACCCCAAGGGGCAACCAAGGAGCCCCAAGAGACCCTCAAGATGCCTCCAAGAGGCCGCCTGACGTCACCCAGGAAGCCTCGAAACTGCCTCCAACAAAAGCCCCGGGAGGGCTCCCACGACATCCCAACGATCACCATCATCATCATCAGTATCATCATCATCAGCATCATAATCATCATCATCATCATCATCATCATCATCATCATCATCATCATCAGCATCATCATCGTCATCGTCATCGTCATCGTCATCATCATGATCATGATCATGATTATTATCATCATCATCATCATCATCATCATCATCATCATCATCATCAGCATCATCATCATCATCATCATCATCATCATCATCATCATCCGCATCATCATCATCATCATCAGCATGGTCATCATCATCATCATCATCATCATCATCATAATCAGCATCATCATCACCACAACCATCATCGCCATCATCATCAACAACAGCAACAATATCATCAGCATCAACAACAACAACAACATCACCACGTCCACCACCACCACCACTACCATCATCGTCATCATCATCAGCATCCGCATCAACATCTTCATGAACATCATCATCATCGTCAACAACAACGTCAGCACTACCATCACCATCAGCGCCGTCATCACCACCATCACCATAATCAACAGCAACGCAAGCATCAGCATCATCGTCATCATCATCAGCAGCATCAACATCATCATCAACATCAGTATCGTCAACATCAGCATCATCATAACCGGCATCAGCATATCGACATCATGGTCGACGTCGTCATCATCATAATCAGAATCGTCATCACCCTCCTCATAATCACCATAACCATCAGCAGCAACAACAGCATCAACATCGGTATAATTTGTTCATCCCTCGCAAGTACGCCCCCTCGAAGGGGATCCGCCGAGCATGGTTGGCTGGTACGGTGGCGAGACTGGCCGTAGGCAACATATATATATATATATGTCTACATACATACATATATACATATATACGTGCATACATATTATATAAACATACAGACACACACACGTACATAAAACTATACATATACACATGCATCTGCAAAACATAAGCATATGCATAAGCATATAAATCGTCATTTACATATACATAAACATATGCATATGCATGCATAGACATATACATAGTACGTATATATATACATATGCGTAGACACACACGTATAAATTACATGTACATCTGCGAGTGGTATGCATACATCTATGTATATATACATATATGTATATATAGATTATTTATGCACACATCGACATCGACATGCATGCGTACATGAATCCATGAATCCGAAACCGTGTCCGTGGGCACAGAGTGGGCGTGTCCACATGTCCTTTCTGTGATCCTCTAAGCCTCAATCCTCACAACTGAAGAGTCTGCAAAGGGCCCGGAGCCCAAATTGTCAAATCTCCCGTGGCGCCGCTTGTCCAGGGGCTTCCCGCGTCATGTCGCGTGAACTGTTTGACGCCGGGTGTGGCGCATCAATTTCAGACCCCACCGGCCCACTCAAACCGTAACAAGATTTGGGACGACGTGGTGGCTGGAGCTGGGAGACTGGAACCCAAATGCGGAGGGAACTCGAGAAGTCCACACAGGGCCAGCTGGAGAAGAAGGACCGATGCGGTTTGACCGTCTCCCGTCGCACACTAATGCACAAGTGTGGATGGTGGCGGGGACGTTGAAATATGGACGCTTGTTCGTCGTACCGACGGATCCACGCAAGAGGGCGTCGAATGATAGGCTTTCCGACGAACGCGATTCGATAAAACTGAAACAACGACTGATCGCGAGGTGGTTTTTCGACGCGCAGCCGAAAGGTCACAAGAAACCTTCACCAGTTCTTCGAATGTTCAGATCCTGGCCGAAGGGAGGAGAGTCGCCGAGAGTTTCGCGCATGCCGCTTGCCCCGTGGCTCGTCGTCGTCGTCGTCGCCGTAGCCCGTCAACAGTAATCATCGGTCAGGGGGAGTACATAGAAACATGAAGTAGGAAGGCGATGAAAGTATATTGTGTTTCTGGCCGCTCCCTGAACGGAAATGAAGGAGAAGAGAAAACCACTCGATAATTGAAGTAGGAAGGCGTCGAATGTATACTGCAATAAGCGAACCCACAAATACACACTTTCAACGGCAGATGGGCAGGAATCAGGGCGTCCTGATAGGGGATGAAGTTGATCACCGGGGCGCGGACATACATGACGCCGAACTCCTGGTCGGCCATGACCATCTCCTTGGCGCGGGGCGACCAGCTGGAGCCCATGCGGGAGGACAAACGACGACGAAGGACGATACTCCAGATTTCGCAATAAAAGGGAGGGGGTCTGGACCCTCCAAGACAAGCCATTTCAGACCCCCCCCGTGGGAGAACCCTCCAAAACATCGTCCCCAGACCCCCCCAGGCCCTCCAAGATAGCCTGGAAGAGACCCCCCCCGAAATGAGACCCCCATCCCTTTCATTAAGAAATCTGGAGTAGACAAAGGGGGGAACCTCGAGCCAGAATCGGCGACGACACATCGCCGACAGACTGGCGATGGGCCCCAGAAATGGCGAATCGGCACGAGCCTGGGCGGGTTGGGCTATCGGGCCCCTCCTCTCGGCGATGGCTGAGCGATGGGGGGTCGATGCGTCTCCCTCCCTCCCTCCCTCCCTCCCTCGCTCCCTCGCTCCCTCGCTCCCTCGCTCCCTCCCTCCCTCCCTCCCTCCCTCCTCCTCTCCCTCCCTCCCGAGCCTATCCCCCCCCCCCAGGGTTGCCCCTGGGAGGTGCGGGAGGCTCGCCCGGCTGGCGAGGAGGGGGAGGCAGGCACGAGACGGGTCACCCGCTCTCCTGACTCCCGCTGCTCGGGGGCGCCCAGGAGTGGGGCGTCCAAGAGGGTGGGTCGCAAATCATGGCCAGCGGCATGTGCGCGGCCCAGGGGGGGCGGGAACCGGGGGCCTATTGGAATAAGAGGAACCGCCATGAACTCTGAGGAGCCATCGTGACCCCCGCCATGATGTCCCCCCCCCCCCCTCGTCATCACCCCCCTCTTGGCCGCCCCCGATGCTCGATCAGACTTTCGATGCCATTCGTGCCAGGTTTACGGCCCAGCGCGGACTCGTGCTGCTCTCTGACTACCTACCAGACCACCCCAACCCAACCCGAAGACCCGAATTTCGGGTTGGGGGGGGTAAGGGTTCCACATGTGTTTTTTCTATGTTTCCTGACCCCCCCCCACTGGAAATCGAGGGTAAATCTGAGCCTTCGGGTTGGGTTGGGGTGGTTTGGTGGGCGGTGATTCTCAGGGCCGTCCAGGAGCCCGCGGGGGCCGCCTCGGGCCCCTCTCTCGGCCCCTCTCGGGGCTCGTCCCGGGGCCCTCCTCCGCCCGTGCGAGGGCCTGTAGGGGGCCGTGCCCGGGCCGTCATTTGGCGGGTCTCGGGCAGTGTTCTCTGCCTGTCTCCGGCGTCCTGCGCGGAGTCAGAAGCACAGATCAAGAGAGCCACTGGGCTGAGGGCCGCGATTCCTGAAACCTTACAACAAACCTTCCTAAAACTTGCTTTCGGGAAGAATCCAGGATTCCTGGAACCTTCCAAACAAAAAAAAACCATAGTAAAACCGTCCTCGGGAAGAATCCTGTATTCCTAGAGCCTTTCAAACAACCTTCCTAAAACCTTCCTCGGGGAGAATCCGTGATTCCTGGAACCTTCAAAAAAAAACCCTCCTAACGCCTTGTTCAGGAAGAATCCAGGATTCCTGGAACCTTCCAAGCAACAAATATCGAAACCTTCCTCAGGAAGAATTCAGGCTTCGTAGAACCTTCCCAAACAAACCTTCTTTAAAACCTTCCTCAGGAAGAATCCGAGATTCCTGATACCTTCCAAGCGAAAGCCTCTACAAACGGATTCCGATCGAAACACAATACAGAAGGATTCCGATTGAAAACCAATACAAAAGGATTCCTATTCAGAGCCTCTACGCAAGAATTCCTATTGAGAGCCTCCACAAACATGATTCTTATTGAGAGCATCTACACTAGGATTCCGATTGAGAGCCTCTACAAAATGATTCCTATTGAAAGCCTCTACACAAGGATTCCTATTGATAGCTTCTACAAAAAGGATTCCTATTGAAAGCCAGTACAAAAAGGATTCATATTGAAACCAAATACAAATGTATTCCAATTGAGAGCCTGTGCAAAGGATTCCTGTTGAGAACCTCCACAAAAATATTCACATTGAGAGCCTCTGCAAAAAATTCCGATCGAGAGCCTCTACACAGTTATTCCTATTGAAAGCCTTTACACAAAGATTCCAATTGAGAACACCTACACAAATGAGAGGTGATCCGGAGAGTCTTTCCAGAAAGATCCAATCCGGAATCTGGAATCCGGAATCCAGAATCCGAGCGGCATGATGGATCTCAGCGTGGAGCCCCACGCCGAATCCGAAATCCGGAATTATGGATTCTGGACTCCGAGGTCCAATCCGGAATCCGGAATCCGGAATCCGAGCGGCGTGATGGATGTCCGCGGGGAGCCCCACGCCGAATCCTGAATCCTGAATCCGGAATCCGGCTGGATTCTGGATTCCGAGGTCCAATCCGGAATCCCGAATCTGGAATCCGAGCGGCGTGATGGATCGCCGCGGGGAACCGACGCCGAATCCGGAATCCGGAATCCAGAATCCGGAACCAGGAATTCTGGATTCTGGATTCCGAGGTCCAATCCGGAATCCGGAATCCGAGCGGCATGATGGATCTCAGAATAGAGCCCACGCCGAATCCGGAATCCGGAATCCGGAATCCGGAATCCGGAATCCGAGCGGCGTGATGGATCTCCGCGTGGAGCCCACGCCGAATCCAAAATCCGGAATCCGGAATCCGGAATCTGGATGGATCTCCGCGTGGAGCCCGTGCACGCCGAATCCGGAATCTGGAATCCGAAATCTGGAATTCTGGATTCCGAGGTCCAATCCGGAATCCAGAATCCGAGAGGCGTGATGGATCTCCGCGCGGAGCCCACGCCGAATGGCATGTGCGTACCCTAACGGGCGAGTCGGGTCGGCCGGGCAGGACAGTAAAGTATGATGCGTCATCGGGTTGGCACGTGCGTACCCTAACGGGCGGGTCGGGTCGGACGGGCAGGACATCAAAGTATGATGCGTCATCGGGTTGGCACGTGCGTACCCTAACTGGCGGGTCGGGTCGGGCGGGCGGGACATTAAAGCATCATCGAGTTGGCACGCGCGTACCCTGAAGAACGAACGTGAAAATGTGAGGGATGAGGTCCTTCAGCCTGGAAGAGAGCAGAGTGCCGCGGGCAGCACACGCCCCAAGCAACCTGAACCGATCGTTACGGAAGGGTCCAAAGCTAATCGCTGCACCTCGGGCGTTTATAGCCTTTCGCAACGTTCAGCCTTGAGCCAAAATGGTTACGGATTTCCCCTCCTCCTCCTCCTCCTCCTCCTCCTCCTCCTCCTCCTCCTCCTCCTCCTCCTTCTCCCTCCTGGAACGGGAACGACATGGTCCAGATTGCACCGAGCGAGTGAAAAGACGTGCGCGCTACCTGGACTCGCCTCGCAGACTCGTGCGCCGGCGTACTCCGCTGGACCAGGTGCGGTCCAAGGTATCTGACTGAGTCGAGAATTCTACCTGGAAGCTTGTGCTTATGGGGGTCTCTAAGAAGGTGTTTAAATGTCGTGCTGCCCACCCCCCGGAAATCAAACAAAAACTCCTGTTTGCTAGCATTCTGTAGATATCCACACTGATCGAGTTGCTCATCCAAACACTCGTCCGACTGACGGATCTTATCCATTAGCCCCGCGAAAGTTAAACCAGGGGAAGCAAGTATAAACTTTAAAATGTCGCCTGCATATTTGCCCCGTGATGAGTTTGCTTCACAAGGGCCCCAGGCTGAAATGAGAAGTTTGCCTGTGGGATCGCTCTGCCAGTGCCAATAGCTCCATCTTAAAACTGGGGGCTTGAAAACCTCAACAAAGTTAGCAACTATGAATGGGTCCCCCATCATGCCTCCCTCACTGGGCGTCATTACCAGTGGGCGGCCCGAAGATTCTAGGAACGTGACTCCTTGCCTGTAGCGCTGACGGCAAAGCACGCGGTCTTCTTCCCTGGTGCCAACCTCCACTGCCTCATCCATGCACTGCCAGTCCGAACTGGCGAAAGCATTCGCGAGGTCTTTGAAACAAATCACGTGCGTCTGGTGGCACGCGCGAAGCCGCCAGCTGGCTCGCAAGGCTGACAGTGTAGCATTCTCTCGGCGTCGGCCTCGACAGAAGCCGCGGTCGTTCACAGTCGGGGTGGTCCGAAACTTAAAAGCGTAAAACCCTTTGCCCAAAGCGGGCAGGACATGGACAATCCGTCGGCCATTGGGCCCCTCGCTCGATTTTTTGTAAATCGCGGCGCCATCACTAGCGTGCCAATATGGTGGAGTGAGATCGAATTGTCTGGTCTTCCAAAGGCCAAGCTCCATCAAAAACCACAAAAAAACACATCGCGGCATCTTCTCTGGGGAGCCAACCCCCCGCCTCATCTTCAGCTCGGGGTTGGGGAAGAGGCACATGTGCCACGGCTCGAGAGGAGCAGTGCCCGTTGGAACCTTTTTCCTACGGGGGGCTCGCCTGACATATCGCTTGATCTGTTTCAAACCGCTCTCGGCTAGTTCCTGAACATCGGCATTCCGTTCAAAAGGGAAATCTTGAATTTCTCTCTCAGACCTCCAGTCTGCGTAATCAAATTCAGTCGCCCCCACCCCGCCCTCCCGCCCGCCCAAACTAAGCGCCTCCACCCACTCCTGAGCTGACGGAAGGGCTGCGCACGCAAGCCGTCCATCGCGTCGCTTCGGTCCGTACCAACATCGCGCTGCGGCTCGTGCAGCCCGCATAGCCTCGGTTGGGCGTCCTCGCCCCCGCGCTTCCCGAGCCTAGGCCATGAGACAAGCTTTACGTTCTTTGGCATGCTTTCGGCGGTCCTGAAAAAGGGTCCGGCTCAACTTCGCAAGCTCTGTGTCAATGCGGTCGACCTCCTCTTCCGAGCAAGCGAGTCTGGAACCTCTGAAAGAGAGATTCTATTCTCCAACAAGCCTCTACGCCTAGATGCGATCTGCACAGATGCATTCGTGGCGACTACAGGTTGAAAGCAGGCTTGCCCAGCATTCACTCGGCTTTGCTCCAGCGCCTCAAATATCTGATCAGGTGATGCGTGATCTCTTAGCCACAAGGGGTGCACCTTATCTAGTCCAGCCTTGACGGCTAGAAGAAACTCCTCCCGCCTCCTCCCCGTCGGCACCGCCCCCATTATCTGATCACCCCCATCTCCTTCCTTTCGAGATCTCCTTCCTCGTCCTCCCTGCTGGCCGCCAGGGGGGGGGGTCTCATCTCATCGAAGTCCCAGGCCGCGCCGTCCATGAACAGGGCCGTGGACATAGATGCTCGGCGTCCGGGGCCCCCTACGACTGGCTCGCCGGCATCGTCGCTTCGTGTCCTGGCACATGTTGAACCTCGGGGAGCGTTCGACGACACAGGGACAGGGTCGCGCTCGGCGGAAAAGACGCAGCACAGGCGCAGCACACCGTGACCCGTGCCGGGGAGGGGGGAGGGAGGGAGGAGGTGGAGGCGGAGGAGGAAGGAGGAGCTCTGGAGGAGGAGGAGGAGGAGGAGGGGAGGAGGAGAGGGGAGGAGGAGGAGGGGGAGGAGGAGGAGGAGGAGGAGGAGGAAGGAGGAGGAGGAGGAGGAGGAGGCGGAGGAGGAGGAGGAGGAGGAGGAGGAGCGAGGAGGAGGAGCTCTTTCCGAGCTCTTTCGAGCCGCCACGTCGTGGCAACCCGCGCGGCGCTGTCGGCGCGCGCGCGCGGGGGCGCCGCTCTCGGCGCCTCTCAGGCCGCCTCGGTCCTCGGCAACAGGGGGACGTGCCGAGCAACCGAGGGGCCTGCGGGCGGCTCCGCAGCCGAGCCCTCTCTCCGCGGGGCGGGGAGACCACATCGTCTGCCATCAGCTCCGCCTCGCGTGGTCCTCACCCGCCCCGCGGGCCGCTCGCCCTCGTCCAGCAGCCGACGCAGCGCGCCCAGCGGCAGCGGCGGGGCGGCGCTCGCCGCGCGGGCCCCTCTCGCCTCTGGCGGCGGGCGCGCCGCGCGCCACCGCTCCTCCTCCAGCAGCGCTCGCGAGGCGGCACGGCGTGCGGCCTCAGCTTCATCAGGTCGGTCTGCTGCTGCTGGTGGTGCTGGCGTCGGTGTCGGCGTCGGTGCTGGTGTGGCGGCGGTCGCGTCCAGCAGGCGTCTCACGATCGGCTCCTCAGCTCGTCGTCTTTCGCTTTCTGATCGCCGTGGCCTCTGCTCTCCTCTGTCTCCGCCGTCGGGTCGCGCGCCTGCTGCCTCGCTGCGCGCTCTCGCTCTGGCCGCCGCGGCCCGACGTGCCCTGTCCCGCGTCGCGGGCCCTCGGCCTGCTCCTGCAGCTGATGGGGCGGGCAGGCTGCCAGGCTCCGCAGGCGGCGTAGCTCTCCTCGTCGCCTCCAGCGCGCCAGCAGCGTTGCCTCGGCACTTCCCCCGCAGACGGCAGGGTGGCTCTTCCCGTTTGTTTCGCCAGGAAACACCACTTGTGCCCCCTGTCGTGTCGACCTCCGTGCTCTGGCTGCTGCTGGCCTCTGCAAGCTGCTCCTCGTCCTCCTCGTCATCAGGGTCGCTCTGTGCGCGAGGCCTGTCGCAGGTGCCTTGCTCTCGCGCCGCTTGCCTCAGCCACCCCTGTAGCCTGTAGTGCCCGCTGTCGCATGCCGTGTGTCCACAGCAAGGCTCCCTGCAGCTTCTTGGCGATCAGCTCAGTGGTGGCGCCGCCGCACTTCTCGCAGAACCACCTGTTGTGCCTCCTCAGCCGCCTCAGCTTGTGCGTGGGATGCGACTCGACGCCGAACTTGGTGACCGTGATCGCCGTCTCGGGCGGTGGGCCACTGCACTCCTGCGTCAGCCAGCTGTGGATGTTCTGCGCCGTCATCGTACTGGAGACCGACTGCCAGCAGCTCAGGCACGTCCAGCCTGTGCCTCGACGGTCTCGTGCCAGAACGTGTTGGGTGAGCGGCCGCCGCAAGTGGTTGTCCCCCAGCAGGTCCTTCTTGCGCACGGTGTCCTGCCGTCGCTTCTTAGCCTGAGCGCGGCGGGCCTCTCTCATCTCCTTCTCGTCTGGCGGCCTTCTGGTGATGACGTCCTTGGTGGTTGCAGCGATCCTGAGCCTCACCAGGTGCGCCGTCGCTCTCACCCACTCGTAGCAGCTCATCTCGGTGTCGCTGATCGCGTGGGTCTTGGCGCCTGCGTCTGCGTACTGATCGGCTGCCTGGTTGCCTGCCCAGATGCGCCTCGTGATGCCCTTCGCGCGGGCCTCCTGCTCAGTCATGTGGCTGTTGAGGTGGTGCACGCTGATGTCGTTGCGGTCGCCTCCTCGCGCACGGATCGCCTCGCCCAGCTGGTGCCACAAGTCGCCGTTCGTGCAGCCGAGCCCTGTGGTCTCCTCGCGTCGCGCCGCCCAGCCCAGGCAGGTGACCTCGCTGTCGGTCCAGAAGCTGGCCTTGCCCTCCGTGGCGTTGACGAAGCTGATCAGGCTGAAGAGCTCCGCCCTGTTGTTGGTTTGCCTCGGTCCTGGCAGTGGGCCGAATCTGGCGCCCGCGATCCCGTCGGCGTCGTCGCCCTCCTTCAGCAGCACCCAGCCCCAGCCGCAGCGGCAGTATCTCTCGTCTGCGCTGTACTCGCCTCCTGAGCCGTCGCCGCAGCCCGTGATCTCGCCGCCGTCGCTGGCGGAGAGCCTGTTGTTGGTGATGCAGGCGCCCACGGTGTGCACGACGTGTTGGGTGTCGCACTTGGGCGGCGTGGTCCACTTCTTGGGCGTGATGCCTCTGAGCCAGAAGGCGGGGTTCTCCTTGGCCCCCTCGATGGCCCTGCATGCCAAGCCCTCTGTCTTGCGGATGGCCTCGCAGTCGGCTCGGGCCGCACAGTGGCCCCAGATCCTGTGTGCATCATCCTCTGGTCTGCCGCACTCGCACATGGCCTCCTCGCCACCGAAGGTATCGTGCTTGCGCCGCCTCGTCCAGGTGCCTGCACACGCTGCCGTGAGGAGCGCGCCGTACGTGCCGTGGTGCTCCTTCTTGGCGAGCTGGTTGAGGTGCTTCTTAAGGTCGGTCACGTCCGCGCCATATTGTAGCCCTCCGCCGTTGTGGTGCTGCGATGCCGTCTCCCACAGCTGGTCTTGGATATCCTGCAGGAGCGCGTCCACGATCTCTGTGTAGTCGCCGCCCTGCTCGTCGGTGTTGAACCTCCAGTAGTCCCCCTGCCTGTCGATCCAGACGTCTGGTCCTCTGGAGTCCCAGCCTACCTCCCACAGCAGGAGGATCAGGCTGGCCAGCGGCCCCTTGCGTGCCTGCCACCTCTTCTCTGCCCTGAGCTTGCGGAGCTGGAAGTAGATCTTCGGCCAGGCAAGCTTGACCTGTGCTCTGATGTCGGGGCTGCGGGCCCAGACCTCGAACCACGTCTTCAGCTGCGCCTTCACCGCGGTGATCGCGGGGTCGGCGCCCTCCAGCGCCAGGAACGTGGTGAGGCAGCGGCCTGGCCACGGCCTCCTCAGAGCCTGTGCGTACCTCCTCCTCGCCTTCTGCCGCGCCCAGGGTGCCATGCCGTGCACCGTCGCGCCGTACATGTAGGAGGCCACCGCTCCTTGGTGCAGAATGCCTCTCCTCCGCCGCAGCCTGAGCCTCCTGGGCTTCTTGCCCACGTGGCCGCAGCGCGTGAAGGCGTGCTTCGTCCTCTTTCTGTGGGTGTCCCTTTTCAGCGCCCCTCTTGCGCCTCGGTCAATCCCCAGGTCGCGGCCCTCAGTGACGGCCTGGACGGGGAGGTTCACCTTGCGCAGCGCCTGCTGTACTCTCTTGGTGGTGCGGTAGTTGGTGCTGAAGATGACGGTCTTGTCCGCGAGCGAGAGTCCCTGTGCTCGTAGACCGTCGCGCAGCCCCACCGTGACCGCCGTCAGCTCCTGCTCGACTGCCTCTGCGCTGCCCAGGATGCGGATGCTGATGTCGTCGAACCAGGCCCTCGGCAGCGGCTTGGGCAGCGCCTGAGAGGCCTCCAGCAGCCTGCCGATGACGGAGTAGACCACCGTCTTGGCCAGGTTGTTGGAGTGCCTCGAGCCTGCCAGCAGCGACCTGTCTGCCCAGGTAGGTGTCGAGAAGGCACCTTTCCACCGCAGCACCCTCGTGGCTGAGTGCTGCAGCAGCATCATCGCCAGCAGGCGGGGGCGGAAGTCCATCCTCAGGCCCGCCTCGATCACGCAGTCGAGCTGAAGGCTGTCGTAGAACTTCTCGATGTCCGCGAGCAGGTTGCCGTGGAACAGCTGGAGCGCGTCGCAGCACTCGTCGCTGATGACTCTCCTCATCGCCTCGCGCAGGCAGCTGTTGCCCGCCACGGCGGCGTCCCATTCTCTCTCCTGCTGCTTGGCCCAGCGCCTCACCGCGGGCCTGTGGAGCAACTCCCAGCAGCGCACCATCTGCGGCAGCAGGGCGAGGGCCCTATCGCCCTTGGCTGGCTTGGGCGTGAGCATCACGATCTCGCACAGCAGCTGCCACGGCCATGCGAGCGCCTGCTCGCATGAGTTGAAGAACTCGACGATCCTCTGGCGGCCTTCGGGCGGCAGCCTGCGGATGTCGGAGCACACCAACATGTCAATGCCCTTGCCCTTGTCGGGCTCTCCTCTGAGGGCCTCGTCTAGGTCCTCGAGCGTCCATTCTGGGGCCGCCTCCGCACGTGCACGCTCCCGTAGTCGCTGGAGAACTTCGGTGTGCTGCTCGTGCTTGAGTCGGTCGCACTTCCAGATGTCCTGGAACGCCTTCGCTTTCTCGTCGACTATCTTGGTGGGGCAGTCCAGTACCCCATCATGAGTAACAACCTCCTCCTCGCGCCTGGGCGGTGGCTTCGCGATGCGGTGCAGCACGCCGACGTCTTTTTCAGCCAGCGCAAGCCACTGTCCGAAGGCCCGCGTATTCTCTTGGAGGTCCCTCTTGAGTGCGAGCCGCTTCTCCTGCTCCGCCTGCTGCGCCATGCCAAGGATCACGTCGGTGTCGACCTTGCTTAAGTCTGTCAGCCTCGCTCTCCAGATCTCTCGGTGTAGCTTCGCCGTGTCCGATGCCTGGTCGCTGGTGTTCGGGAGGCCGTCGTAGGCAAGGTGTCTGCCTGCGGCCTCTAAGTGCAGCTGCTGCCTCACGTCCCTGTTCTTCTTGCGCAGCCTCGCCAGCAAGGACAGGGTGTTCTCGGCTCTGCTCCACCAGTCAGCTCTGCGGTTTGCATACCGCTCTCTCCTCTCGTGCTTCTCTTTGCCTTTGCGCATGGTGAATGCTCTCGGGTCACCTCTGCCGCAGTACTTCGCTCGGTCCAGGGGGTCGATGCGGTAAGCCATGCAGTAGAAGTGCTCCATCGTGTTCATGATGGAGGAGAAACTCAGGCTGAGGTCCCTGGAGGCTTGCGTGGTCGCTTGATACGCGGCGCACTTGGTGATGTACTCTGGGGCCTCTTTCTCCACGGGTGCCTCAGCAGCCATTTCCATCATCTCCCAGAGCTCTCCCATCTCGGTCGTGTCTTCGCCTCTAGTTTCGAGCCGTGGCGACGTTGAACCCACCCACGGCGGTGCCGTAGCGGGATTTGCGCTCTGACTCCCGTCGGTGTTGATGTGGCGCTGTGGCGACGCTGAGCCCCCCGTCGGCTCGAGGAGCACCGAGGGGGGTCTTGCATTCTGACGCCCGACGGTGTCGAAGGTGTGGCGTGCGTTCTGACTGCCAGTGCCCACCATCGGTTCGAGGAGCGCCGAGGTGGGACTTGCGATCTGACGCCCGTCGGTGTCGATGTTGAGGCGTGCGTTCTGACTGCCAGTGCCCACCGTCGGTTCGAGGAGCGCCGGGGTGGGTCTTGCGATCTGACGCCGGGTGGGGTCGAAGATGCTTTCGCCAGAGTTTGCAAAACTTACGCGCGACGATGAACCCACGGACGGCTCGAGGCGCACCGTCGTGGGATTTGAAGCGTTCTGACTCACTGGCGACGTGTAGCTCGGCTCCAGGTCCTGGCCGAACTCGTCGCACATCCTGATTGCCTCGGCCTCGTCCTCGGGGTCCAGGTCGGCGAACACGTCGACCTCGCCTTGTCAGCAGCTAGTTGCACTCCCAGTCGGCGTTGGAACATATACTTCATATCACATGCGGCTCTAACAAGATCCTGGATGAGCTTTCTTTTTCACCAAACGTGAGGATCGTGTCATCATCAATGTACGAGCCCAGGGAGACTTGTGGGTTCCGAATAGCAAACGGATTAAACTCGAACAACGCGTAAACCTTAACGAAAACATCATTATATATATATATATATATATCACCAGCTGGTAACCCTGATTCCGCGAAGAGGGGAAGAGGGCTGCGATGGGCTCCCAACCTCAAAATCCTCGGGCTCCTCCAGATATTATACAGGGTCTTGACGAGTACCCGCGGGATCCCCCAATACTCAGCACGCACACGGAGCCAGGATAGCCTTAACGATTCATAGTACTTCGTTCCATCCCAGATAAAGCCTGCAGTGACCTTGCCCTGAGACTGGGCTTCTTCTGCCAACATGCTCTGCTGCCACGCCGCTGCTCCAGGCGACTGCCCCTCCCCGAAGGACCGATAGGCCTTATGGGCCCGAACAAGGAAACCATCAACTTCAGGGCGCCTCAGCCTTTCCCAGATACGCACTGGTGCATCCAGGAGCAATATGGGCCGAAGACCGCCTGTGGGCTTCTCAAGAACCGGTAGCAACATCCACAGCAACTGCATCGGGAACAACCCAAGGCGCTCGACCGCCTCGAACAAAAGAGACATCACCTCCAGACCAGCATCGCTGAGGAGGCTGAAGTGGCGCACGTGCAGCCCGTCAAGCGACTGGGCCGTGTAAGCGCTGAAAGACCTCGATGCCGCCCGAATTTGATCAGGCCCAGCTCGATGGAAACAGCTCCTGTCAGGTACCCACGCCTTTGGGGGTCTTACATGCGCATTCCAGTAGCCTCCAAGGTGAGCAGCTTCGGCCTCTAGGAGCTTGACGGGGTCCGACGAGTAGATCCCCGGGGCCACTTGAGTAACCGTGGGCTGCCACTTTTTTGGAGCTTGGTGAACCTGTGCATGAGCCTCGCGGAGCCTGCTAGAGCCTTCTGTTGCCACTCATCCCAAGACTGCTGGAGGGGCTTCTCCCCTTTGTCATTGGCATCTGAGAGGTCCTCCTGAATAGTATCCAAGAAATAATCAGCTCTATCGCGCCACTCCTGCAAATGGGGATGGTCTGAACTCCACTCTGCCGCAAGGGCTCTCATTTCCTTTAAAGACGCATCCAGTCTGATGTTGAGGCCTTTCCCCAGGGCAGGAGTGCTGCAACGAAACCTGGAGGGTCAGGATCTGGGCCTCGCCCTCTGCGGCGCTGGCGGTGATCTGCACAAACTCGGCAAACGCGTGATAAAGCCATCGCCATCCTGAGCAGACTTGGAGCTGGTCATCCGCATGCTTGGGGCGATAGAACACGGGAGCCCAGGATGCTTTTATCGATTGCCCCCTCATACCCAAAATCTTGGTCTCGGTGCCCAGGAACCGAACTAGCTCCAACTCGGCGCAGTCCACGAAGGTGGTCCAGGCAGCATTCAGGCTAGTCCAAGCCTCGTCAGCAGGACTATGACGTGCAAGGGCGACGGCATATGCTGCCTGATGCAGAGCACCCTCCCAGCATCCTGGCTCTGGTACTGGGCCGAAAGGTAACTCAAGCGGTAGCTTGAGGTGGCTGCGATAAATCAACTGCTTGACCTGAAGAGCATCAGGCCGAACCTGTAAAAGCACAGGACGATGTGGTTTGATCTCCCACTGCATATCAGCTTGAACTCCCGAAATAAGCCTAGCTACACCAGCACCCAAAGCGAAGAAATCAATAATGGAGCTGGAGGCAGGGCTTCTGCACGTGGGCGCTGTGGGGCCCATGAGGAGCATGCCCAGCTTACGTGGGAAACATGAGCTCTCTACAACATCGGGGGTCATATTCCAATCTCCTGCAATAACCGAAAGAGCTGGATCACTTACAGCACGACCCAATTTGGCCATCAGATCAAGGTTGAACTCACTGGGTCCTTCGGCCGACTTGAAATACACCGAAAACAACGATATGGTAGGCCACCCAGGGAAATCCACGAGGACTTTCATGAGCCTATGCGGGGCAATGGGTGCATCTCCTTCTGGTGGCCACCTGGGGCCAATGCCCAGACGTCCGAAAACAGCAACGCCTGCAGACTTCTTACCTGTGTCAGGGTTGTAATAGCTGGGCGCGAACAGCGCATGCCATCCAAGACTGCGTGCCTTGGCAGTAGCCCTGCCAACAAAATCAGCGCTGGTGCCCACTTCCTGCGCACAAAGAAGCACTGCTGAACTCTCTCGAAGGCGTCGTTTGAGAGTAGTCCAGCACGAACCATTGAAACTCTCTACCTGGTACTGACTGTCAGTACTCGGCCTATGCGGCGCCCCCTTCAGGGGTGGAACGGGGGGGCCTGAACACGAGAGCGGGATCCCACAACACTTGGCAGCAGGGCGCTGGCACATAGTGTCACCCACACTTTTGTTTCTCGGCCTTGATCCCCAGAGTTTTGACCATGTTTTCAAAGACACGCTTGTTATCTGGTCCCTCGGCCTGAGCGGCCATAAACAACTTCTCGACATCTTCTGCATCCAAATCGTCCAAATCCATATCTGCTGGGACGGGAATATCGGCATGCTCATCTCCATCATCGTCTCCCCCCCCCGTGCTCTCCTGGGCGGGGCCCGCAGAAGTAGGTGGAGGAGATTAAGATTGTGCAGCCTCTGCCTGAAGCTGAGCCTGCAGGAGTTCCTTGTACTTGTCGAAAGCGGCCGAGGACACGAGCTGCTGCACCTCGGGATCGCTCTGCACCGTCTCGGCCTTGAGCTCGAAAGACGGGGCAACTGGGGGAACCACTTTCGACATGGTCGTCTGCAGCTTCACCTTCGTGGCCCCCACCTCAACCCGCAACTGACGAGCCTTGGCCTGCATGGCAACCAGCTCCTCCTGTGCTGCCTTGATGAGGGCCTCTTGCGCCTTGATGTCACCCTCCTGCTTATCAAGCTTCTGCTGGGTCCGCTGCAACTTGTGCCCCAGCGCCGTGTGGCGAGAGAGAGAGAGAGAGAGAGACGGCTTCTGGCTGTTGAGCTGATCCCTGGCAGCCTTGAGCTCCTTCTCCAGCGCCTCTTTGACAACGGACGGGAAAGCATCATCATTGCGCACTGAGTTGAGCGTGGTCTCGAGCGATTTGACACGTGCCAGAAGCTGCCGGCCTGCGTCACCAGCGGGCGAGTCCACGTTACTGTCACCACTGGCGGCTGCTGCGTCAGGCTGCTGACGTTGACCACCACCTGCGGTTCCAAAATGCTTGACGAACTGATCCATCTGCTTCTGAAACTGGCTGATCTGCTTGGTAACTCCTTTGTCCAGCACAGGAGGACCGCGAGCCCAAGCACCGCGTAGAGGACGCTGCACCGCATCGCCACCACATGATGACGACTTCTGCTTGTGGTCCTCATCCCGCTTCTTAGCCTTGTCGATGATGCTGCGCGGCGCTGCTTGCCCACACTGGCATCTGATGCGGCTCGCGAAGTTCGCGTTGCGACCGCAGCTGTGACATCCCCACTTAGGCTCCCTTGGGCCTGGGAGGACATCTGGATCCACCATGAACGCTCCTCCAGGAGCTCACTGCACACTGCGGGTTGAGATGCCGCGAACTGAGTCGTGACGAGCCAGAATGACCCGCAAGTGCGATTACCGCTCTGAAGACGGCACTTGCAAGCCCAAAGAACCTGGGCCAGAACGGCTCCGCGGCGAGGAGGAGGAGGAGGAGGAGGAGGAGGAGGGGGAGGGGGAGGGGGATGAGGCAGGGAGAGGGCAAGGGGGAGGGCGAGGAGGATGCAGAGAGACAGAGGGAGAGATAGGGATAGAAAGAGAGAGAGAGGGAAACAGTGAGTCCAATACTCTCGTTTGCTGTTGAAGCAGGAGGCGTCGGGGCAAAAAGCAATACACTTTGAG